CACTTCATATTAACAGAATCATATAATATGGGACTTTTCATGACTACTTCTTTCATATAGCATGTTTTCAAGATTTATCCATGCTGTGACACATATCAGTACTTCATTTCTTTTTTGGCCTAATATTCTATTTTATAGATATACTACACTGTATTTACCTGTTCATCGGTTGATGGACATTTGGGTTGTTTCTACTTTTTGGCTATGATGAATAATGCTGCCATGCTTATTCACGGACATGCTTTTGTGTGGACATAGGTTCTCAGTTCTCTTGGGTATCTACTTAGGAGTGAGGTTATTGGGTCTACCTTTAGCCATTCGAGGAACAGTCAGACTGTTTTTCAAGGTGACTTCATCATTTCTACATTTCCATCACATTAATGTGTGAAGGTTCTGATTTTTACATTCTTGACAACGTTTGTCATTATCTGTCTTTTTCGTTACTGCCATCCTAGTGGGTGTGAAATGGTATCACATTGTGGTTTTGATGTGCATTTCCTGGATGGCTAATGATGTTGACTATTTTCTCATAAGCTAATGACCATTTACATATCTTCTCTGGAAAAATGTCTATTTAGATCATTAGCTTATTTTTCAGTTGGGCTGTAGTTTGTATTACTCAAGTTTTCAGAATTGTTTATATATTTGTACATGTTTATATATTCTGGATACTAGATCCTTGCCAGATAAATGATTTGCAAATATTTTCTTCCACTCTCTGGGGTGTCTTTTTCACTTTCTTGAGCATCAAAGCTTGGTTTTGATGAAATCCAGTTTATCTATGTTTTTCCTTTTGTTGCTTGTACTTTGTTGCCACATCTGAGAAACTATTGTTAGTACAAGATCATGAATATTTACCTCAATGCTTTCTTCTAAGAGTTTTACAGTTTTAGGTATTACATTTAGGACTCTGATCCATTTTAAGGTCATTTTTATATATTTTATAAAGTTCAGACCCAACTTCATTCTTTTGTATGCGGATATCTAGTGGTCCCTGTTGACCATTTTTTCCCCATTAAATTGTTTTGACACTTTTGTTGGAAAATTAAGTGATCACAAGAGTGAGGGTACATGTCCAGCTCTCATTCTTTTTTTTTTTTTTTTTTAAGTTTACTTATTTATTTTGAGAGAGAAAAACAGCACAAGCAGGGTCAGGGTAGAGAGATTGGGAGAGAGAATCACAAGCAGGCTCTGCATTGTCAGCATGGAGCCTGATGCAGAGCTCAGTGCCTTGAACCATGAGATCATGATCTGAGCCAAAATCAAGAGTCAGTCACATAACTTACTGAACCATCCAGGCCTCCCTCTAGACTCTCATTCTATTCCAGTGATTTGTATGTCTACCTTATTCCAGGACCACATAGTCTTGATTACTATAGCTTTGTAGTAAGTTTTGAAAAGGGAAAGTATAAATCTCCCAACTTTGTCCTTTTTCAAGATTGTTCTGGCTATTCTGGTTTCCTTGAATTTCCATATGAATTTTAGGAACAGCTGGTCAATTTCTGTAAAGTAGACAGTTGGGAATTTGATAGTTACTATGTTGACTCTACAAATTGATCTGGGAGTTTGCCATCTTAAAAATTATATCTTTCAATCCATGAACATGGGATGTCTTTCCATTTATTTAGATTGTTTTAAATTTCTTTCAACCATGTTCTATATTTTACAGAGTACTAAAATTAACTTTTTAAATTAAATTTATTTCTAAACATTTTATTCTTTTTATGCTATTATAAATGGAGTTATTTTCTTAATTTTATTTTTGGTTTGTCCATTGCAAATATTTGGTAATATAAAGGATTTTTTATATTGATCTTATGTCCTACAACCTTGCTAAACTTGTGTATTAGTTATAATACTTTTTTTTAGAGTAGTGCTTAGAGTTTTCTACAAGATCATGTCGTGCAACTAGAGATAGTTTTCCTCTTTTCCAATCTAGATGCCTTTTATTTAATTTTCTTGCCAAATTGTCTCATTAAAACCTCCAGTACAATGTTGAATACAATTGGTGAGAATGAAAATCTTTGCCTACTTCCTGATGTCAGTAGGAAGACATCAGTCGTTTACCTTTAAATATGATACTGGTTCTAGATTTTTCATAGATGCTTTTTAACAGGTTGAATAAGTTTCCTTCTATTTCTAGTTTGTTTGGTATTCTCTAGTACAGATCTTACTTGACCTCTGATGGGGTCATGTCCAGATAAATACAACATAAGTTGAAAATATTATAAGTCAAAAATGCATTTAATGCACCTAACCTTCCAAACATTACAGCTTAGCCTAGCCTACTTTACACATGCTCAGGACATTTGCATTAGCCTACAGTTGGACAGAATCATCTACCACAAAGCCTACTTTATAATACGGTATTGAATAGCTCATGTAATTTATTGAATACTATACAAAAAGTGAAAAACAGAACGATTGTATGGGCATAGAATGATTGTAAGCCTATTAGTTGTTCACCCTCGTGATTGCATGACTGATCGGAAGCTACATCTTGCTCATGCTGCCCACCACCATGAGAGAGGATCGTTCCACAAATCACTAGCCTGGGAAAAAAAATCAAAATTCAAAATTTGAAGTATGGTTTCTACTGAACATATATCACTTTCACACCATCAAACAGTCAATAAATTGTAAGTCAAACCATTATAAGATAAGGGCCATCTGTATTTTGTTGAGAATTTTGTGTCTATGTTTATTAGCCTTCAGTATGCCTCTCTTATGGTGTCTTTGGTGAATTATTTTTAAAAATAATAAAACATTCCAAAATTTACAAGGTTATTAGGTCTTCTCCCTGCCTTGGCTACCCACCCTTAGCCACTCATTTTTACTAGTTCATATAAACACCTATTTAAAAATAATTTTTTTGAATCCTTACCACTTATATTTTTGTAAGTAAGTTATTAAAATTATAATCAGTTACTCTGAGTATTTGACAGAAGATAGTCTCTATCAGATTGTAATAATAAAATCATTTGAATTTCTATAGTAAAAGACCACAACTCACTGACAATCAGAAACTCCACTTCTGGAGGTATAACTTGGTTAAGTCATGTTTTCTGAGCCTTATCTGTAGAAACACGAATAAAATCCCCTACCTGCCACTTTGTCCTGAGAACTGAGTGAGATGATATTTGTGAAGAGGCTTGGGACAGGTAGAATCAATTATAGTTATTGTTGATTCACATATTGCATATCACACTATCCCTTTAAATAGCAAGCTGATTGCCTGCGTGTTAGATTGGCATAAAAATTTTCAAAAACCCTTTATTGCATAAAACTAAATACTTCTGTATGTAATCTGTTTTTCAGAAGTTATCTTTCAGTTCTTAAATCCTTTTTTTGCCTAGATTCTTTGATTTGTCGCCTATTTCGGAAACTTGGAAAGTACCATGCAAATACAGATATAGCTTTGCTAAGTTAAAAATAAAATACTTAAGTGTTTGCTGGTGAAGGAAAATGTGATGCTATGTAGGTAAAACTGTGTGATGAAAATCAGATTCACATTTCATAAGAACATTTCTGGAGAACCTTAGACTTGAAAAGTAGGAGCCAAATGCTTCTCCCAGACGATAGTTTATAACTCTCACTGAAGTCAAGAGTAATTCTGAGGGTAGAATTTAAGCCAAGTGTTTGGAAAGCTGGGAGAGGAAAAAAAAGAAAGCACACATAAATTTCCAAATCTTTCCAAAGTACTTAGATGGGAGGAGATTTGTAGTTAAGATCTTGAGAAATGTTTTTTTCCACTAGTGGGATATTCATAATACCTTGATATAAATTATTTTACCTTCCCTGGGATGCTAATCATGATCAAATTTAGTTAAATAACCATTTAAGTTGCAAAAACTACACACACAACAGTACCAATTATAATATCTAACAGTCATTATTTAAAAAATGTTTTTTAATGTTTGTTTGTTTGTTTGTTTGTTTATTTATTTATTTATTTATTTTTGAGACACAGAGAGACAGAGCTTGAGGCGGGGAGGGTCAGAGAGAGAGGGAGACACAGAATTCGAAACAGGCTCCAGGCTCTGAGCTGTTAGCACAGAGCCCAAGGCAGGGCTTAATCTCAGGAGCCGTGAGATCATGACCTGGGCTGAAGTTGGATGTTTAACCGACAGAGCCACCCAGGCGCCCCTAAAAATTTTTTTTTAATTTAGTTTTTAAAAAACACATATGGACTTTTATTTACTTATTTTTAAAGCAAACTCTGCCCAACATGGGACTTGAACTCACAACTTCTGAGGTCAAGAGTCTTATGCTCTACTGACTCAGCCAGCTAGGTACCCCTGACGTGGAGTTTTTAAAAATATCCTTAAATGAAGAGTTTCTCAAAAACCTTTGACAAATTAAATACATCATTATGAGATTGAGATGAAACTTTTCAGACATAATTATTGCATAAAACTAAGTCCATACTCAATATTTATTAATAGCCTAATTAGAAGTTATCTTAGATACCTTTTCCCTGCAGTAATTTCACAAAATCTTTTTTTAAATTCCTACATGTTGAACAATTAAACTTTAAAAATTAATTAAAGTTAAAAATATGGATGATATTGATATAATGGCAATTATTAAAATCGATAATGTACAGCTTTGATCATAATGTTTAAGGGGATTCTTAGTCAACTGTCTGACATAGGTATTTCAGAAGACAGAAATTGATATCTCTCACTATTTGTCAGTGCTTGAATAGACTGGCTCCAAAGATTATCTTAGTCTATTTTGGGCAAGGGTGCTAGCCACAAAGGTCATATCTACCAGTTGATGCTTATCGTTACACTATCTATGACACAAAGTAACACAGATGCAAAGAATAAAGGCTTTCTTTGAAAAACTGATAAAGGCCATCTGTGCCCAAGGTTAATAGTAACACAACCAGAGGAGAAAATGTTAGGGTCTTTTTCTGTTCTCTTGATTTCCTATATAACCGTAGTCAAAGTTTTACAAATAAATATGCCAACCAAAAATAAATACAATGAACTTACTGAGAGACAATTCTTTCCATTTAGTCCTCTACATAATTATCTAGTATGATCTGTGCAACGAATCTCTAACAAGGTAGTGTTAGCCCATCTAATAGAAACAAAACAAAACAAAACAAAACAAAACTCAGTATCAGTATGGGTGATAGAATTTCCTAAAGAGGTCACATTTACAGAGTACATACTACGTACATAGTTATTTCATGTAATAGCTGAACAAATTCTCAAAATGTCCCTCAGCAATAGGTTTTACATTCCCTGTTAGCAAATGAGGAAATATCAGCTTATCCCCACAGTTGGCCTTCTGGCTGGTGGTGGAGGTAGTACTCAATGGTAGAGCTAGTCTGGTGCTCTTTCCTTCAAATCCCAGCTGGATTTAAAAAAAAAAATTTTACTTGTTTATTTTTAATTTTTTATTTGTTTTAATATTTTATTTTTGTTTTATTTTATTTTCGAGAGAGAGTGAGACAGCGTGCAAGTGGGAGAAGGACAGAGAGAGAGGGAGACACAAAATCCCAAGCAGGCTCCAGGCTCTGAGCTGTCAGCACAGAGCCCAACACCGGGCTTGAACTCATGAACCGTGAGATCATGACCTGAGCCGAAGTCAGACACTTAACTGACTGAACCACCCAGCACCACCCCCCCTACCTCGCGCCCCCTGCTAGCTGTTTTTTAACTATGGTGTTCAACACTGACAACACAGAACCAAAAACCACTGCAACAGATGATACATGACAAAGGGGAAAGTTTAGGAAATCACAATTTATATATATATTCCTTTGTCAACAAATAACTGGTATTTTATGATTCACATGGTATTGTTTTGTAAAGTGTTGTCATTTTGTCATTTTTCGTAAAACTGGCTTTATCTTGTTTATAGCATAAAAAGAACAAGGCATATCAATCACACGTGGAAACATTTTCTTCCAATTACGTTAGCTATGAAAACTTTTGACAAATTATTAGATTTGTACACACCAAATGTGCATTTGATTCCATTCACGTTCCACATCACTGGAGTAAATGGGCCGTTCTTTTTCTTACTTCACCTTCTTGAACTGCTGCACATGTTAGCCACTGATGTAAAGTTTAACTTAGGCCTGCAAAAAAAAGAAAAAAAAAGATCGAATTCCCGGGGCCAAAGAACCCTGTGAAAGTCAAATATGTTTGAAAAAAAAAGAGTGAATATTTATTTTTGTCGCTCAAGTTTTCCTGAAGCCGACACTGTTTCAACCTCTTGTACATTTCATTGACCTTAATTAACATGTAGTAGAAAATGATGGGGATATTCTTAAAAAAATCTATAAAGTAAAAAAGGTGTAAAGATGAATGAAAACTGCAAAAAACTTCTCTGGAGTAAACAATTCCGAAACTCCTAGTGTGAGTTGTCAGTAAGGGTTTCTTTAAAAAAAAATTTTTTTTTTTTTTTTTTTTATGTTTTATTTATTTCTGAGAGAGAAAGAGACAGTGTGAGCAGGGCAGGGTCAGAGAGAGAGGGAGACACAGAATCCAAAACAGGCTCCAGGCTCTGAGCTGGCTGTCAGCACAGAGCCCCATGCGGGGCTCGAGCCCACGAACCGTGAGATCATGACCTGAGCCGAAGTGGGCTGCCCAACTTACTGAGCCACCCAGTCACCCCTCAGTAAGGTTTTCTTAAGCTCATAACTACCTCACAATCCGATCACATCACACTCTGCTTTATATTCTAAGAGGCTCTGGCCGGCCATTCACAGCAGGTTTCCAACCTTCACAAGTGCACCTCTTAAAATTAAATAATAATAGTGACTTCGCCATATCTAAGTGGGATAGGATAAAGAAATGAATGAACACCAACCTGGATAAAATTGTCACTATATTCAGCAATTTATTCATTCAATTATTTTTTATCTCTTGAGAGAGCGAGCGAGCGAGAGAGAGCGTGCATGCACATGTGTGAGTAGGGGGCACAGAGAGGGGAAGAGAGAAAGTATCCTAAGCTGACGGAGGGCTTGTTCTCCAGACCTGTGAGATCATGACCTGAGCAGAGATCATGACCTGAGCCGAAATCAAGAGTCAGATGCTTACCACCCAGGCACCCCTATATCCAGCAATTTAAACACTGATTTTCAAAGTGTTAAAGATATTTTCACCTGCTTTGCAAGAAGTTTCATTAGATGAATGCAACTTATAGATTTATTGAATAAATATGATAATGATAAAAACTAACACTACCATAACAATTAGGTCATGGGCATCATTCTGTGCGATTTAGACATAATAAACACTTTGCATTCTCATGCTTACCCTATGAATTAAGTGCTATTACCTCCATTTTACAGGTGAGGAAACAGGCACTAACAACGGGCAGTAAGGTGTCTAAGGTTTTAGAGACAGAATCCATGCAATGTGGTGTTAGAGCCCATGTTCTCCATCATGAGGCTGCCTGGCAAAATATTCAATGTTTCACTGTGCCTCGTTAATAGAAGATAATGTAATTTAATCTTAGAATAAAAGAATTGCTGAAATATGTCACTGTGGGTTAAACCACCACAGCAAAACATGCCCCTTGCATGGATCTGCTTATTTCACCGCCACCAACAGCTTCACATGCCCATTGTCTATACACTCAGGGGCTCCTAAACACATTCCTTTTCATATTTAAATATTTTGTTTATTGCTTGTAAGAAAGAAACTATATGCAATTACTCCCTTTAACCTGAAATGCTTTAAAATTTTTTTTAAAGTGTTTGTTTTTGAGAGTGAGAGCGAAAGCATGACAGGGAAGGGCAGAGAGAGAGGGAGACATGGACTCCGAATCCGAAGCAGGCTCCAGACTCTGAGCTGTCAACACAGATCCTGACACGGGTCTCAAACTCACAAACCGTGAGATCATGACCTGAGCCAAAGTCAGCCGCCCAACCTACTGAGCCGCCCAGGCGCCCCTCTTCAGGTCCTTCTTACGACCCTGTTTAGGAAGCCACCCCCTTTGCTTCTACATGTACCCCCCCCCCCACACCTGGAGTTCCCCTGAGTACAAGATGCTTTTTCACACCTCAGAGGCTGAACATGTTGTTTCCTGTGCGTCTCATGCTTCTTCCTCCTCTGATTGTCTTCTGAACTCCGCTCCATTAAGAGTCGGTTCAATCGTCATCTCTGCAAGGTTTCCCAGGGTCCAACATTCAAGACTTGGGTCCTTCTTCCATTGTACTCCCATGTCATTAAACTACATCTATCCTAGAATTACACAGCAACCGGTCTGTGTACTCTGTTGGCCAGGAGTCCCCTGAGGTTTCTGCATTATCCAGCTTTTTAAATCACCAAAGATGGCATCTGACATGAATGGTAGGCACTCTAAAGTTGCTGTGTGATTGGGTTTGCTTATGAGTTCAGGGTTGCCCAGTGGTTGGAGTGAAGTACTGACAGTTCTGCACTTAATTCTACTGAGATAGTAGGTCATGTACACAACTTCTACTAGTAGCTAATTTTCAGGGTGCCTGGGTGGCTCAATCGGTTAGGCGTCCAACTCTTGGTTTCAGCTCATGATCTCACAGTTTGTGGGTTCAAGCCCTGCATCAGGGTCTGCCCTGGCAGTGCAGAGCAAAGCCTACTTGGGATTCTCTTTCTTCTCTCTCTCTGCATCTCTCTTGTGCATTCTCTTCCCCACCCCCCAAAATAAATAAATTAAAAATCTAGAAAATAATTTTCTAGCAAATAGGTGAAGGGAAATAATTTTATTTGGTCAATTTTTTTCTTCATTCACATTTTTTTCCTTTTCTTTTCCTCTTTTTTATGTTTTATATTTTGAGTAGGCAATATATGCACTTGGTACAAAACTCAAAGTATCAAAGACAGTAGACTGTGAGATAAGTCATCTTCTCACCTACATCCTCCAATGCTTGAATCCCTCATGTTATGCAGGCATTGGTACAGTTTCTAGTGTGTAATCCCAGAGCCATTTGAGATGCATATAGGCAAATAGCATGTACTTATCTAATACTATTTTGTACCTTGTGTTTTAAACTTTGTGATCCTTCCATACAAGTACATGAAAAGCAGCCTTGGCTTATTAACAGATGCATACTCTTCAATTCTGTGAATATATCATGATTTAACAAGTTTTTCAAATATTTATTTTTGAAAGACAGACAGAGTGCGAGCAGGGGAGGGAAGAGAGAGTGGGAGGCACAGAATCCCAAGCAGGCTCCATGTTCTGAGCTGTTAGCACAGTGAATCCAGGAACCATGAGATTATGACCTGAGCTGAAGTTGGATGCTCAACTGACTGAGCCACCCAGGTGCCCCAATTTTTTTTAAGTTTATTTATTTATTTTGAAAGAGACAGAGAGTATAAGCGGGGGAGGGGCAGAGAGAGAGAGAGAGAGAGAATCTCAAGCAGGAAGGAGGGGCAGAGAGAGGGAGAGAATCTCAAGCAGGCTCCTCCACATTGTCAGTGCAGAACCCAACGTGGGGCTTGAACCCATGAAATTGTGAGATCATGACCTGAGCTGAAATACAGTCAGACGTTCAACTGACTGAGCCACCCATGTGCCCTGAATGTATCATGATTTTTAAATTAAGTTTTAATTTTAATTCCAGTATAGTTAACAAGTGTTAGTTTCAGTTGTGATATTATATATTTATATATTATATTATATTTTTATATATAAAGAAACCCAGAAACAAGAAATTTTTTTTGCAGGAAGTCAACACAGATGATCACTCCATAGGATCTCTTCTCCCCAGGCAGCGTGGCACTAGGGTGTTCCTTGCTGGTCTAACCCCAATACTGTTTTCAACCCTAGGAGGGGCTTAGTGAGTTTTCAGAATCATTTCTCCTCTGCTGTAGAGGAGAAGGCATACTGTTCATTCTGTAAATACATACTGAGTAACTCTCATGCACCAGACATTGTTCTAGTGGCTTAGGTTTGAACAGTGAATAGACAAAAGTCCCTGTCATCATTAGGGTTACATATAATGGGAGAAGCCAGAGAGTAACCGCAATACACAGGTACGGTATGTGGTATGTTAATTTATAAGTGATTTGGGAAAAAATAAAGAAGGGACTAGAGAGTATGAGGAGTCCCTTTTGTGAAGGGTGGTCAGGGAAGGTCTCATTGAGATGGTGACATTTAAGCAAAGGTGTGAAAGCAGTGAAAAAATGAGCAAGGTACCTGAAGGAAAGAGCAAGAGCAGTTGATAGCGTGCCCGGTATGTCCTGGAACAGCGAGTTAGGCTGCTGGTTAGAGCTCAGCGAGCAAAGGCAAGAGGAGAGGTGAGGTCAGGGACGTCAGGGGATTTGAGTAGCAGGTTGGATTGTGTCGGTCCTTATTGTGTAATGGAAAAACCATAGAGTTCCAGAGGGCTGATGGGAATGCTCTATTGAGAACAGATTGAGGGGGGTCAAGAATGGAAGAAGGGAGAACCACTTAGGAGACTTTCTAAACAAGCCGAGAAATGAGATGGGTCACACCAGGTTGGTAAGCATGGAGGTGTGGAAGTATCTGGACTGTGGGTCTATTTTGTAGGAATGGCTGGCACGATTTGGTTAGACTTGATGCTGGATGCAGGAGGAAAAGGAGGCAAGAACGACTCCAAGGTTTGGCTTGGAGAAGTGGAAGGCTGAAGTTGTCAATTACTGAGACGGAGAAAGAAGGCAGGCAGAGCATGTTTTAGGGTGAAGATGATTTGTGACTTGGTTTATGGTTACCATAGCTTTCTGCGGCTGAGACTCTCAGATGGCCATGGTTCTAAATTAAGTAAATGGCCTGGACTAGACCAGGACTGAAATGCCTCCAAGGAATCTGCCCATGTCCTCGTCCTGAGCTATCCTGTTCCAAATCTGACCTGCACTGACCTATCATACTAAATATTCTTACACCTTTTTCTGTGTGAAATATTTAATCAAAGACATAGGCAATGCACACACACACATCATCACACATAACTAAAAACCCTGAAAACTTGAAACACTTGATTTCCTGTCCACTACATAACAAGCAGAACATGAGCCTCTATTAAAGGACTCACTCTCCTCCAAAAACCAAAACTCAATTCAATTCCACATTTGCGGATCCCTGATGTCACCAAGCCACCAGTTCCTAGACAATGCCAGGCTAAACTGGTACAGAAACCACACCAGGACAATATGAAATGCGCCGGATTGAAGAATGTGACCAGGAATTCACTGGTCAAATAATTCAAAAGAAGGGATACACTTAAACAGTCATCGCTAAAGCATCTGATGAAACAATACCTAAAATGGAATGAATATTTCAGCAAACCGAAAGGCGAAGGAAAGCAAAGCCAACATTTTAACTTTTATTGGTGGAAGGAAAGGAAAATGAAACACACGAGACTAGGAACTGAACTCCAGGAGTTATTTCAAACAGCTAAGAAGAGATTAGGGAAAGAAAATTTTAAACTGTGTCCTTGAATGGGAGGCAGACAACAGTGCAGGAACGCGGAGAGCAGTCTTCTTTCCCTGCCCAGCTCGCGAGGCCGGCGGGCAGATCAGAAAGAAGACAACCAATCGCTAGAAGAGAGTAGCTAAGGAAATCCGAACTTGTTTTAAACCAAGTAAAGTGATGGCCAGACTAGGTGACTCAGAGGCGTGACTCAAACCCGACAGTGGGGGCCGTCAGCTCCCGGAGGCCGGGGGTGCGGCGTCAAACACATTTTAGGAAAGTACCCGGCTCGAGGAAGGCGACAGGAAACCTCCCCGGGGGACAGGCCTGGGGCTCCTCCTGCCCTACAGTCTGACCTCTGACCAACGGCACCAAGAGGAGTTTCTAATCTCCTGGCTTCCCCTTCTTGCTTTACAGCCCGCCCACCCCGCCACCCATTTTTCTTCCACAAAGTGTCACGCGGCGCGTGTGTGCGAGACGTCGCGCCCCCTCCCAGCGGCCTTCAGCCCAGCGCGCCCCGCCACGCGCCCACCCGCCCCGCCTCCGCGGCGAGCCGCTCCCTCCCCACCCGGCCCGCCGCCCGGGCACGCGCGGCACGAACAGCGCCTGGAGCTGCGCTAGACAAACACCTGTCCCACCTGGGCTCCGCGAGATTTGGGGGCGAAAGCATAGGCAGCAGTGGGCGCGTTCTCGCGAGGTTTAGGAAATTTCCCACGGCCCGTGTTGTGTCTGAGTTGAGTAGTGGAAGGCGGTGGGAAGGAGGTGTAGCGTGAGACTGGGCTGCCCGCATTGGGCACATGCGCAGTGCCGCTCGCGCGTGCCGCGCCAATCCTGCAGCGCCTTCAGCAGGTCTCCGGCAGCGGATTCCAGTTCTCCGGGTTTTGGGGCTCCCTACAGGAGGCAGTGCTCGATCTGGGAATCTCTAGGAATTGAAAGGGCAAGGCTGGCGGGGGTGAGGGGAGGGGAGGGGTGGTGGAGCTACGGATGTTGCAGGTGGGAAGAAGGGGTCAGGATTCAGGCCCTTCTCCCTTCTAGTAAATGCCCGGACCGACCAAGTTTGCTCTGGGGTTTCCAGGCTTGGGTTGCCCGAAGTACGTTTCGGGGCAGCGACCAGCGTCCTTCACCCTGCCAGGCCCACGGGAGGACCTGGGCAGGGCCCGTCCCCATTACACCTGCGTTCACACACGGCCGGGGGCTGCGACGAGGTGCTAACAAGGCTCACACAGCAGGCAGCTCTGTGCCCCAGAGCCACCTCTGGTTTGAGTGCGGGGTGGGGGGAGTGGTGGCTCTCAATTCCAACGCCGTCTTTCGCTCCTGGAGAAAACTACGCGGAGCCCTAGCAGGCGTAAGACAGGTGGACATTAGGGGTGTCTTTGCCAAAGGCCTTGGCCTGAGCTCATTTCACACCCAAGGGGAAGAAAGCGAAGTCCACTGAGCTGAACTGCAGAAGTTTTCCATTTCCAGAGCTCTGGAGGGTCAGCCCACGTTGTAACTTGTCTGTCTGCGCGCTAGCAGGGGGGACCGAATGGGCGACGACAGTTCTAGGTTTGTCACTCGCAGAACTCCAGGCACCTCTCTAGCTTCAGCATCTAACGCTGACATTAGCATAAGGGAGGCGCCCAATGAACGGCTGAATGAATGAAAAGGGCTGGGAACCGGAGTGAGCGGGAAGCCACTTGGAAAACACCCATTTGAGGAGGTGTTTCATCTAGGCCTGTGAAACGCGGCAGATTTTCCCAGGACCCCTCCTCCCTTCCCCTCGGCCCCGCCTCCTGACCCCTCCATTCCCCGTCCCCGTTGTAATCCCCTCCGGTTTTCCTCTGTCTCCACGTACGTCCCTCAGGGCGCGTCCCAAAACCCGGATAACCGGAGCGCTCCCCATGGACCACACTGAGGGCTCGCCCGCGGAGGAGCCGCCTGCGCATGCTCCATCGCTTGGGTAGGTTTCCAGGGAAGGCAGCGAGCAGGATCCCCTACTCCGCGGGCGGCGCGAGGCGTCTGGCTCTTCGCGGCGGCTGCGAGGGGAAAAGAAGCGCGGGGGCTGGGTGGACTCGAGGAGTGAGGGAAAAGGGAAGGGGCGGGGGAGAGGGACCAGGGAAGGCGTCAAGGGGAATCTCGCGAGGGTTGGAGTTTTGGCGAGAGTTTGTGGAAGATGGCGCCTGTTGTGACAGGGTAAGTCTGAGGGAATCGGAGAGCTGGGAATCGGGAAAGTTGCGGGCGTCTCGCAGCCTGCGGCGTGCGGCGTGTTCGGGGGCCGCGGCGCGCTTGGCGTCCGGGGCCGCGGGGGCGGCGTCGCGTGCGTCGAGCGCGGCGGCGGCGGCGGCGTGTGGCCGTGCGCTCCCCGCTCTGCGCCGCCGTGGCTCGGGCTCTCGCGCGTGAGGGCGGGCGGCGGCGGCGGCGGCGGCGGCTGCGGCGGCGGGTGCGGGCGTGAGTGCGGCCGGGCGCGCGGGGCCCGCGGGCGCCGTGCCCGCCGTGCCCGTCGCGCGCCTCTTGCGCCGCCGCCCGCGGGCCCCGCTTCCCGGCCCCGCGCAGCTTTGTTCCTCCGGGCGGTCGTCGCCTCCTCGCCGGGCCGGTGCTCCCGGCCCCGGGGCGCTTTGTCTTTCCCCGCTGCCCCCCGCGACTCCCGACCCCCGGCCCTTTGTTTCACCGCCTTGGGCGCTTTGTCCGACCCGTCGCGCCCGGCATCCCTTTCCCGTCTCCCCCTCTCAGCTGTCCTTCCTCCCGTGCCCCTTTGTTGTGCCCTGCTCTACTCGGTGGCTCCGTGACCTGCCACAGCCCCGGCACCAGATTTCTGCCTTTTAATTTTTCTTCCATTTTCTCACGTGTGTTTCTCTCACCTTTCTGTTTGGTACTTGATCACCCCGCGAGTCTTTGTCTCCCCCAGCCAGCGGTTTATTCGCTTGGCACCCCCCCCCCCCCCCCCTTCCCTCTCATCTTCGGTTGATTTATCCACTACCCACGGAGTATGTCGGCTGAACGGTCTCAGCCTCGGGGGCTCCATCTGGCGCTTCAGCGAGCAGACCCTACGGTTTGTTGTTGTTTCTGTGGGTCTTGAAGATGCACGGGGACACTTAGTTTCCTCCTCGGCGCTCCGCACCCTTTTCTCTTGGGATTACGTGCACACTCTCCTCCACCCCCCCCACCCCCCTTTCTCTCGGGATCACAATGTCTCCAGTTTTCTTCGCGGTCTCTTCGGGCCCACGGTTGTTTTGCTTGGAAACAGTAGCCCTGGAAAAAGATCTGGTCTCTTGGTTCTTGCTCCCCCCGCCCCCTCCACCGCCCGCTTTTAGGCCGTTTCTGACGGCCTAGGCCAAGGGCAGCTGTCGTAGCTTTGCCCCTGGGTTACCTGAGGGTATCGTGGGACGGTTAGGAGAGGTGCGAGGTATCCTTTTCCTGCTGGCGTGTGACCGGTTCCAGACGTCCACAGTGGATATTCATTCTGTACGTGAACAGTCGTAGAGTGAATTTTGATGTTAAAGGCTTGCGAGTATTCGGATTGAAAATGTCAGCATTTTCGAGACTCTAGTTCTGGAGTTTATTTTCCCAGTAACTCCTGCTGCCTAAGGAAAAGGGGAGGCATCGTGCTTGGGAATTGGATACACATGATTTACTTTTTCATAACCGGTGGGTAGTTACTAGTTACATGCTTCTGGTCTGTCAGAGATTTGTGACAACCCTTCTGTCCCGTCTTTGGAGTTGAAATGAGGAACGCGCTATAGAGTGCAGTTTCTGGTTGATGAATACTGCTTCTAGAATCTTTGTGGAATGCATTAATCAAATGTAATTAAAAGACATTTAAGTAGTAGTCTTGAGGAAGGTGAAGGCACTTCTCATGTTAAAGGAGCTTTAAATTGTTCAGAGTGCTTATTGTTATGGTAATGAAAAGTTGGGAGTTGTGTGTGGGGGTGGGGGAGAGTGGTGTGGTGAAGTGTATTTAAATAGCCTAAATATTCTGGTGCTGGGGATAAGAAATATTAGGATTTTCCAGGATTACTAGATTGAATATACAGTTCAGAAGTCCCCCCGCCCCCATTAGTTGGTCATTACTTTAGAGGTGGTGTTACCCACGGAATCATGTGGAGTGTCATTTCCTTTATAAAGTCCGTGAAGTGCTACTAGGAGGGGATGTACAGGATTTAGTGTGAGGAATGTTGGTGCAGTAGAAATCTTTTTTTTTTTTTCTTCAAAGGCTGTGATTAGAATTAGTAGTTTGAATTTTAATTAATGGAAAATTGTGTTTCATAATTGATACGTGAGGGTTTTGTGAAACTTTGTGTTCAGTCTGGGTTCCATGAGTGGGTTTTACCAGTAATCATTTGTCTCCCGTACTTGTTTGTGCATAATCATTCTTTTGAAGGTAAAACCTTGAGTGCGCTTTTCCTGACTGTAAGCAAAGTGTAAATACGGTGTAATAAGGGAAGGTATTTTGTTCTGACTTGTACATGTAAGAATGATCACATAAACATCATAAAAGCTACTCTCACATATTGTTATGTGATTCTGAATTAAGTAAGGCTTTTATTTTCTGATCAAGTAAAATGTTGCCTTCACTAAATTATATCACAAACAGCCTATTTAGAAACATACCGGATGGGTTATGGTTGGGAAACTTTCATTCTGATTATTCGCTATTAAAGCTTTAAATTTATTGTCCATACATATTGTGGGTTGGTCCACACAGTGTTTTCAGGGAAAAAAAAAAAATAAGGTGCTCACTTTCCAGATCTATTTTAACATATGCTTCTAGGTATTAGGTTTTAATCCGTTAGGTTTGTTAAAAAGTTACCGATTGCCCGATAATAGATTTCTATCAATGTCTTTTAAAGGGGTAAGATAAAAAAAGGTTGGGGGATTTGACAATAAACTATTTGTAAAATAAATAAATAAATAAATAAAAATAAACATTAAAAAAAAAGGTTGGGGGGCTAATCTTGCCAGCTGTAATTTATTAAATAATCTTTGGCACTCTGGATGGATAAGGTATTAGGGAAAAAATGGTGTGTTTGAAAGTTCTTACAAATCTTCATTCCAGTATTGCGTCATTTTAAAAATTAAAAACCTAGGATGTGACTTTAAAACATTTTTTGCTTCCTCCTAATACTAAATTTCATGTTGTTTCAACTAGGGGCAGTATTTTCTCATGGATTGACTAAAAGTTGTTATTTTTGGCATCTGGCTTTATGATTATTTCCAAGTTACTCTACTTCCCCTGGGCCAATTTCCTAACTATGTAGTAAAGTGGGAATTGTAATAACTTGCCACATCTGCACAGGATTGCTGTGCCTTAGGATTTGCAGAGAGCATCCTTGGATGAAAGGTGTAGTTAAAGTCTAGGAATTGTTACTGAAATAAGCTGATGTGAAGTAGGTCATATTTTATAGGAAGTCAAGTAGGAATTTATGAACAAAGTTCTTGGCAAGTTGCAATGGTGATAGTGGGATGAAAAAAATGAAAGTATGCATTATAGTTGGGGTAGATAAAACCAATACATTTTTTTCCCCTGTAGGCTTAGAGGGAGAGGGATATGTGTAACAAATTACAGGTGGCGTGTGTGTGTTGTAGAAGAAATTGAAATCAGTCAGACTCATAATAACATTGTAAAATTGTGGGATGCTTTCCTTCTACTGATTTGTTTTCTGCACATGGTAATATTTTTTTTTTAAGTTTTTATTTTATGCATGTGGCAATATTGTTTTTAAATGGTAGCACAAAATGTTTTCACCAGACTCTGGGCCA